GCAATGCAAACCACATTTGGGGGAGATAAGGCAACTACAATGTACGAACACTAGACCTAAAGAAGAATGAACTGCAAKAGAAAAGTGTTTTACAATCTCTGATATATAATTGTATACCTTTGCTAGTCTTGATATAACAGCCTGCATTCTGAAAATACACAAAGAGACTTTTTGATGAATATAACCTACATGTATTGCCTTCTCAAATGGATGAAAGATCATTAGCCTTCTCTCCTCTAACCAATCTCTTTCCCCAAAGGAACTCAAAGATAGAAAAAACAAAAAGTTGCATGAAGATCAAGAAGGACACATCCAGCAAGGCACAAATGGATTCAGATAAAAAACATGTAAACAACAAACAAACAATCACTAAAAACATTTATACAAAAAAGCAAGAAATCATGTTGCAATAAACTACATTAGTGTGTGCTTACTTGTCAGGGTGGATAGCAGATAATACAAAWATCAATATAATTATGTCCAGACTTTGATCAGGAAAAGGATAAGTAAAATCAATATTGGTGACATCGCAGACAAAAACATGGCACCGTCCAACATTATAATCAGGGTGTTCCTAAGGTACATTAGAAGAAAACATAATAAATAACAAAGAATGAAATTAAATAGAGAAAGGAAATAATGAAATTGGAATACAATCAAGTGAATGAGATAGTAATGACAGAAGAGGAAAGATAAGGGAATGGAAATAATGAAAAGAAAGCGAATTTAAGGATAGGAATGAGAGAAGAGGAAAGAGAATAAAAGTAAAAGGAATAAGGAATGGCAATTACAAAAATAAAAACAAAGGAAAAAAACAGAATGTGACTAAAATAGGACAGTATTAAAAAAAATATTAAAGAAAATTAGATGGGAAATGACACAGAGAGGAATGAAATGTAAATGAGAATAAAAAAAAGTTAATTTTTTCCTTGTTTTCATACTGACCTTTACTAAATCTACAGCAGTTTTAGAGAAATCACAGCCAWAAACAAACAACCCAGGATCACTAGAGTTAAAAAGTATATTAAATAATTTGAGAAATTGTAGATTGGTAAAGAACACAATCATATGGTCTACTAATGTATAAGTAAAGAAGTAAGAAGTTAAGACCGTTAAATAAATGTGCTTTCCTATTGCTAGATACTTACTTGTTTGCTTCAAGAATAGGAAATATTGTATTACCAACACCACATCCAACCTGTGCAAGAGAATTTGTTTACAAAACTTAGGGTGAGATACCTATACAGGACTTTCAAAAATGGCAGTAGTTCATGACGGCCAATATCGGGGGACTTAGTGATGAATCATGGATAAGAGACCTCAAAGTCCTTTCATTTAGAGAAATCACTACAAAGATGGCATGTATGTAGTGCCCAAAAGTTTGAAAGATGTAATTGGTATGTTATTTAAAACAAAATACTCTTGCAAGACACCATCAAAGTTTAGTATACAGAGGCTGACCTTTGAGACCTCATTTTAGTGCTTCGTCTCAAGTGTCCTGGCCAGTGAAGGTGATATATCACACCATTTTGGAAAGTCATGAATAAATTGCATTTTTAAATGCTTTTAGTTCTTTTGATTATAAGTTAGTTTTTGTGTTCACTTAAAGGAAGTCAACATTGATCATAAAATACAATCAAGATATAAGTCATTAATTGTGATTATTGATCACAATATTCACACWACTYATACTAKTGTTTTCAACACACCTCAAGAATACGCTTTTTAGCATGACACCCARTAAACGTGTCCTGTGAGTATTCCTGATCTTGGTTATYAASTTCCTGATTTCGAGTGCTGCACGATTCATCAWCATTTAATTTCTTTACACTATTATTTGAGSAATCTCCTTCATTTTCAGTATTAGYRGGTGCCCCTAGTTCTGGAAATTCAGTAAATAACCAATGTCTGTCTTTGAAAAATCTGAAAYGAAAATYTATACACCATTCATGCRTACTGTTTAGGTTTACATGTAAATAATAAACAAAAATCTTGACAGGTGAAATCCAGTAGRCTGAGKTTGAACCARGCAAACATGGTATGGAATGATTTATCCTTGCCTTGACTTAACAAAGGTCATCTAAAAGGTATAGATATTAATTTAGAAAGAGATCTAAGAAATCTAAGAGAAGATCTCTTAGGTGGCTTTTAAACCAGTCCCCAGGAGTGCCTAATTACTCTTGATTTCTTTAATGATAATGATATAGAATATTCAATTAAATGGGTGGGTAAGTATAATATCACCTGTTTTGATGTTGTGTGTAAAAGCCATCCCAAAAGTTGTCAGCTTCATTTTCATATTTTTCTTTKTAGTCCGAAAAGAAGAAGAGAAAATAAGTTAACCAATAGTTTTGAATGATCTGCATGCACTCGTCACATTGACAAGTGGCCTTAAAAACCTAATAAACGATATAAAATCACAGCCTACAATCATGATGTCATTACTCACCTTGCATGCTGCTATCCAGTTTTACCTCAGCATTTTCTTTAATCTTTTTTAACGCTTCATCTTCATGCTCTGCATTCCATTCAACGTTATCCCTGTATATAAACCGAAAAACTTAGAGATAAACTAAAGAAATCACAAAAGTCAAGTGTTTCTTGAAAACTCCAAAAGATCCAAAAATCTGATATCGTTAAAACCCCCCGTGCTATTAATGCAACAGTAACGCAGGAATTGACACGCGAGATATAGACATCAGTAATGTAATTATCCATTACCAGGCATTGTGTTCGAAAACCTTTGATGGATCGGTCAGTAATCGGCCTCCGAACTGTGGTCTCTTTTCATTCGCTTCGTCCGCCATCTTGAAAATTGAGTACTTCCTTCATGTCTACTATCATCAAAGCGAAACCCGCTGGCCAAAAGAGAGTCGGCTCACAAGACACATCGAATCCAAACATCATCTGGTCGGGTAGTCTTCATGCATCAACTTTTAGCTTCAATTTATCGGTTGCTTAAGGTAAAATACGATTGAAAATTTGTATCCAGCTAATGCATCACCAACTATAGTTTCAAACTGTACTGAGCGTTTTGACTATCTACTTGACAATATAGTAAGTTATCAGCTTTCAGAATTCTTCTACGTTGTTCCATGAGTGAACAGCTTTATTATAATAATACAAAGAGATTCATTGTACAATGAAACAATGTAGATTCCTTTTTCTTTCGATTCCCAATTGACCCTGATCCTTTGTTTGTAACGGACGAATTGTCTAGGTGTACATGGCCTGGGGTGTTTGTCMATAGTTATCGAATTATAAATCGATATCTGAATACGACTTGAAAGGCTTGATTGATATCTATGGGTTATCGACAAAAATCGGTTGATCTTCGCGATTTCCTGGTCTCTTCGATTATTCGTCGATTGTTCGATTATCAATTAGTTCATTTCCTTTCATTGATTGATAAGGTCGGGGCTGCTTCGAGCTGTAACTAAAAAGACATCTCCAATTGCTAGAAATGACACGTGAATATATTTAACCCAGGACCTCGCGGGTAGAGTTTTGTTTCGATGGAGATGCGACCAGTATTTTCAACAATCTATAGAAGAATGTTCCACGTATGGGAACTGAATATATATCAAAACACGTGTCAATTGGAGAAGTCTTTTTAGACAGACAACTAATGAATACCTCATATACTAAAAGACGACCCTAGAAAGGGGAGGTCAYACAGAAGAGAGGGGCTGATGGATAATACCCTACCCTAGAGTCGCCACACACGTTAATAAATATGTAAGTGCCTCGAGAGAATAGGTGGGAAAGTAGACGGGTATGGGTCAGAATGATGAAAACCTATACCATACTATTTGAATCCCAGTAAAATCTACTAAAACGGTTTTAAATTCACGTAGGAATGACTAGATGGATTATTAGTGTTTGAAGTTGAAGTCACTTTGCTATTTTCTAGGTTGGCAATGTGCAATGGATCCTGATGTAACTCCAGATTTGACATTAAAATTTCTTGCTTTCCACGCTACCGTGTCTCCAAGCAATTCAACAGGACTCAGCTTACTTCATATCTCATGTATAAATGGAGACCTTGAAACATTGAGTATCATTTTAAACTGTAGCCCTAGTCAACTCGACACGTGGATTGCATTATCGATTAAAACACATAACGAAGACTCCCTCCTGCCAGAGGAATTAGTCAAGAAATCTCAAGATTCCTTGAAACGTCAACAGATGTCGCACATGTTGAAAAAGGCCTCCGGTGAAGAGCGCCCAACGTCAATGATTCATGCAGGAGCGAAGCATGGCAACGTCCATCACATTAAAATGCTAGTGAAACTTGGAGAGAGAGTGAATAGCTTATCCAGTAACCCAGAGGATAAGGCTGCTTCTCCTCTGATTATTGCGAGTGCYCAAAATAAAAGCGACGTCGTAGAGTATTTACTGTCTCACGGAGCCAACGTTCAAATCACAGATTCTCAGTTAAACATGGCCATCCATGCTGCTGCTTCAATTGGCAATGCACACCTACTTTCACTTCTCATAGATAGTGACAGCGATGTTAATGCAAAGGGGTTTCGCGGAAAAACACCTTTGCATTTTGCAGCTTTAAATGGRCAYACTGAAGCTACCAGGCTCCTTTGCGAGAGTGGTGCCGATGTGAATTCTCGTACAGTKTTTGGGGATAGTCCTCTGACTTGCGCAGCAAAGAGTCCGAACGTTGACAATATGAAGGTTCTCCTCGAAAACGAAGCCAGCGTCCATGACCGCAATTCTATTGGCTACAATGCCTTGTTTTACGCATCGAAGAATGGTTTCATCGATACTGCTAAACTCTTGCTTGACAGGGGTTGTGACGTCAACGCCAGGTCACGTGTTCGAGACACTCCTTTGACTATCGCATGTGGAATTCCTGGAAATAACAAGATGGTGGAGTTTCTTCTCCGACGTCGAGCTGACATCAACCTCGCTGATAGACAAGGCAGRCAAGCACTTCACCACGCGGGGGATCCAGATATCGTTGAATCTCTTCTYAGACATGGAGCTGTTATTGAGTCAAGAGATCTCTATGGTTTAACACCTTTGTTGTACCTTTGTAGTGCAGAAAACCCACATAGTAACACGGACGTAGCCAAAAAGCTCATCGAGATGGGAGCATGCGTTAACTCTCAAGAGGTTCTTAGTCTTTATTCACCGTTACACCATGTCTGTACACACCATGATCTAGACAGAGAAGTCGTCACGATGTTACTGGATAAAGGGGCTAACGTCAACGCCCTTGACTCTGAAGGAGAAACGCCTTTGTTCTCTGCAGTTAGAAATGCAGATGTTAAATTGGTAGAGCTCCTTTTACAACATGGAGCCTCAGTGAATATCAAGAACGATTCACAATTGACGCCAATCGGTGTTTTCTCTTCAAGTTCCACTCAAGAGGAGGAAGAAATCGAACTGATGAAAGTTCTAAAACCGTACCTTATTATGCGCCACTGTACTAARAACAATTTTTAGTGATATTGCTCTATTCTTGTCTCAAAGACGAGAATGACATAATATAAATTAAAGACAGCCAATCATTGGTACATAAGGAGATAAGATATATCCTGACTATTTGAACTCTCAAGGGGACTATAAAATACAACACTAACTATAAGAATTTGTATTTTGACTATAAAAGACAAAAATTAAAGGAACCGGTTTCATCTTGTTTTAATTTTTCATTCATAGTGTCAAATAGTTCTCATTATTTTTATATAACACATTTTATCCATCTGTGAAAAGTTATCATTCTACTTCAACACCAACTATAAGAGATTACTTCTGTAAAAATCTCTTAAAACACACGATATTACAACCGATAAGTTCAGTGGTCTTGTAGTCGACTACTACACAGCCAATCGACACTATACTGGAGTGACGAACTACTGTTTGCTCAGAGAATCAATATTACATTCGTCGCGACARGCAGAATCTTTCTGTAGCTCGYGGGGATTAAGTGATGGCTTCTRAAGTGAAAGRTCTATCGTTTTCTCTAGTGCAATCCTCTTGTTCTATTCTTTTCTATTCAATCTCTCCAAAGCAYAAACTAGCATTTGTTCCTCCAAAACCGAATGAGTTCGTCAACGCGATAAGTCTGGTTGATGTCTGTTTTYTAATAAGTTCTTGTGCTGTATTTGCAACRTAGTTTGCGTGGACGTCTTCAGAGTTGTCAAAACTGTGAAGATTAAGTGTCGGAGGAACCATTTTCTAGATAACAAATAAATAGATATATGAATAAATAAAATAATCCACTCCTCGTTTGACGCCTCAATCTCTTAAACGATGGATTCAGCAATGAGATTGTTMAGCTATAATGATAATTCAACTAAAAAGACACTATATAAGTTTGATAGAAACTGCCTTGGTAATAAACACTATCCAGGTTGAAATAGTTGTGAAGCATTGCAAGTCCGCCAAATGAATAAACATTGATACAAAGGGGCTAAAAGACGCAAGTGGAAACGGGACAGCGAGCCTAGTCAAATACCAGTGAACATTTAAGTGAGTCGAAAACCTGTTTTGGGCTTCTAGTCGATGCATAGCTGACATATGCAATAAGCTACAAACCTCTTTGATTGCGAGAACGGTGAATATAGCTTCAACAGCTCCTGAAGCGCCCAACAAATGACCTGTAGCACCTGTTTTGATAGAAATGAGAGAAAAGATGAAAACTAAGAATAGAAAACATGGGAATTTCCTACCAATGACTGTGAAAATACCTTTACTTGATGATATCAAAGTACCCGTGGTTCCCTCACCAAGAAGTCTCGTGATAGCCTTGCTTTCGATGGCATCCCCTTGGGTATACAATATACAATATACAATGTTAACGGGTCAAGATAAATGCCATACAAAATGCAATCAAAGTCGATAACTAGAAACAGTTCGTCTTAGACCGGTAATAACTAGTTTTCGTCTTTTAATCAAGTCATATCACAGATACAACTGTATCGTTTTTTTTTTCCACGGCGAACTCCCCAAATCCTTTTCGGCACGCAAATGAGTGCATCAAGCAATATTTACCAATAGGCGTTGATGTAGCATGAGCATTGATATAGCTAACGTCAGAAGGGTGGAGATGTGCATCTCTAAGAGCCGCTGACATAGCAAGGTAAGCTCCCTGGCCATCTTCTCTTGGTGCGGTTATGTGATATGCATCACCTTAAAAAATAATAACTAGTCTTTGTCCGTTGATTGACAAATGTATGAAAAGCAAGTGTTCTTGTCAAGTCGAAAAAAATGCCGCTTACTTATATTATAGGATAATATGAAAGGCGGATTAATCATACCTGACATTCCATAACCGTGTAGTTCAGCATAAATATCAGCACCACGAGATATAGCATGGTTGAATTCCTTTGAACAAAATATCATTCAAACATTAGGTCGTTTATCTTTAGCCGTTTCAAATATACCTGCACAATTACTAGTATATACAGTTGACTCTCTTTGAACGACCACTCTCGTAAGCGACCATACCCCGTATGCGACCACCTTTTAAATTTCCCGTTATAATTGTTTCCCATATAAACTCTGTAGAAAAAACTCTCTTGTAAGCGACCATCTCTCGTAAGCGACCACTTTTTCCTGATCCCGAGGTGGTCGCTTACGAGAGAGTTGACTGTATACTTTAACTAAGATTTCTTCTATATATTACGTATATTAATCATTACCTCTAGCACAATTATACCAGCGCCTTCACCTATCACAAAACCTGATCTGTCTTTGTCAAATGGTCGTGAKGCTTCTAGAGGTTTCTCGTTGAACTTGGTAGTTAATGCTCGCGCTCTACAAAAACACCGAATACTTGTTGGAACATCAAAATACGTCTTTACTGGTAGTGGTAATTTTAGTGAGGTGAGGATTCATCACAACTTGTTACATTGCACTTGTTTCGTTCACACATCAGAGCTTTCAAAAGAAGATGAGCTAATTTAACTTCAGAAGGATTTGAAAATCCATACGTACTTGCAAAAGCCTGCCATGCTAAGAGGTGTAATACAAGATTCAGTTCCTCCCGCTAACATGACGTCTGCATCGCCAYTGATTATCATCCTGAATGCATCACCGATGGCATGAGCACCGGCAGCACAGGCTGTTGATACTGCATGATTTGGACCCTTTAAAACACAATATAATGCAAGTGAATTGTATGCTCTGTCATCATGAAGGTCAAACATGCCTTTCTTAATGACGTACCTGTAAACCAAAATGGATGCTAACAACACCGGCTGGCATGTTGGCAAGAATACGAGGAACAAAAAATGGACTAACTTTACGATACCCCTTTAAAGTAAAATAACATGACATGACTCTGTTTTCATGCAAGTTATACTGGACTCTTTCAGCGTGAGTCCTGGAATTGTATTACAGGCAACACAACATACAATACTGAATGGGTCATGAAACGTTCAGCCTCAAACCTCTTTTTTCAAAAGTGCTCCAGTAACAGGAATTTCCTTKATGCCACCAATGCCACACCCAATTGAAACTCCCTAAAAACACAATAACATTCTTTCATTACATTCAGTAATAATAAGAAAAATTAAAATCATTATGTGTCTKCCWACCGTCCTTTGCTTGTCCTCCTCAGTTGTCGGTTTCCACCCACAGTCCTCTAGGGCCTCTGTTGCCGCAATCAGTGCATACAGGCTTTCTTCAGCAGTGCTTCTTTTGTCCTGAGGTAAAACCACAGAYACTAATGAGTACAAGTCCACAGGAATCCAAATTGATTACTTTAGATAATATTCTTTATGGATGCACCCAYCATTTGGGTCTGCTAAACACTCAATATYTTTCTAGGAGCTGAGTGAATTCCCAGGTTTCTTAAATCCAACTCACCACAATATTGAACCACTGCTTGATATCCAAGTGCCCAACATCACTTCCCCTGGGTATGAATGCAGCTAAAAATAAGTACAATGTATGCAAACAGTTACCTCCATGTATTTATCAATATGTAATATGGAGTATCTTAAGCACTTTTCAAAGGAGAAAATAGTATTTTTCAACTGACCTATTTTGGCTGGAATACTCTCATATCCTAATAGGAAAAGATAAACACTGATGAACCTTTTTTTTGAATTTTAAAAAGTTAGAACAATATCAATTATCAATATCAAATAATGATGATAGCAATTACAGTTATCAATCAACATCATCATTGACTTAATCATTATCATAATCATAGATGTTACAAATGTTACATTGTTATCATTGTTCTTCAATATCAACAGACTGCATGCACAGATTTATAGTCAATAGAATACTTTGTCTTCTTGACATGTTTACAAGTGCCAATAATTGTTCAGAAATTATCGTAAAATTATTTTTACATTATTTCACTAAACTCCAAATTTTAGTTGCACAATACTTGAATGGAAATAATAAATTCGCAGCTGGTAGTTGCAGTATATTGATATCATCTTGCAAACGTCATTYGTCCATTAAAACAGTTCCTTCCAATTTAGGTAGTAAGAAGGAAGCGGAAAACCGAAATTCATTTACCTTCGTCCGTTATCTTCGAGATTCCAGATTTTCCTGCAACCAGTTCTTTCCAGACATATTTTGAGCCAACACCAAGAGGACAAACTATTCCTAACAATTGGAAAACTCAGCTTTAATATTTGCTTTATTTCACGTATAAAATTTACTTGACGTATTGAAGTGTTTGCGCGCTACCTACCTAAGCCAGTSACAACAACACGGCGACGATTTCTATTGGAGTAATAACGGCGATAAAGATTCTTGCAAATCAGTGAAGCTCTTTGAATAACCTCCAACTTTTTTAGACCGTTATTCATGGCATATGTCCACAAAGAGACTTAACTTTGACTACCAAATACGAACAAATTTTGACCAACTTCGTCCGCCATGTTTTTTCTATGCACCCAKGCCTCTTTTAAAAGCACAGGTAATCCATAAGGAAATGTCCGAGCGTGACAGAAGGAGCAGTGTCAACTGTCAAGCGCATGGCTGCGTTGTGATTTAATTCAAGCGTTTAAAATTAATTCAATAATAAATAAAAATTGATTTATTCATAAACACGATTTATTGTCGTTATTTTTAAAACAATGACATCACAAAAATTCCCAGAATCGGCTGTCATTACCAAGAGCGCCGGTTCTGAGAAACTGAAATTGAAAACAAGATCTGTCATATCCCTTCATGAACTTTTTCAAATATTTGCAGAAACYAGCCTGAAATATCCGTTTCATATATCTAATGCAGACTATAATATGTCAAACAAAATGAGCTGAATCAAGAGGAATATGGCAAGTCGGAATAGGGGAACATTCAGGCCTTCTAATTCGTTACCGATACCGAAGCAGCCGAAGAGCAAAGCAAAACAGCAAAAACAAGAACAGTGCGAGTTTGAAGTGAAAGTAGTCGGCGGAATTAACGAGAGTTCGACCTCGAATTCCAAAGTCAGTCTTCAAGATTTGGTCAAGAAACTAAAGGAGAGTTTTAGTGGAAATTCTCGAGAAACGTTGAAGMCGTCAAAACYTGCTACTGATGAAAATAAGCAATATGTCAAATGCAAGTTGCTAGTTCGCGGMGTTTCRCCGAAAYATTCAGCATTTTATAACATCCGTAAAACATGGTTTGGAAATATTTGTCAGGCTGGCGATCCATTTTGGCTTGAATCATGCGAAGAAGCAAGGAAMAGTTATCGATTTCAAGCAAATGTGCAACGACACAGTTTTGATCCSGTCTCATGTAGTCTTGGCAGTTTCTKGAATCGGGGAACCTTTGTTGAGCATTACAATACGGAAGTGGATCGGTACTCGATGGACGATCAGTCTCTCTATGCAGAATTCCAGCACGATACGAAAGTCTTGGAAATCTCATGCTATATACTTACCATAATAGAGTTTAGATTAGCGTTCGAGTACAAGCAATTTGAGAATTATGTTTTAGTAGACGAGAAGCAACGGGGTGTTGTAGACATATATATCCCTTTATTGAGGCCACCAAAAGTTATCAAACTTGGTAAGTAGATTAATTAATTTTTTTAATAAGGTTTGTCTGAAATCAGATATGTTCTAAAATATCCAACGGGGMCACATCCAACGTCAAAYAGTTCAAGTTGTGCACAATCATGCATGCGTCCCAAATGCCGAAGGGGATTTTGGGTACACGGAAATTTGAATCGASAATGGCATGGCTATCAATTTAGCCTGATATATAATATCGACTAATGATATGATGATGCAACCGCCTTTTGAACTCGACGTTTTGTAGTTTATCTTTATGTAATATCATCGCAAACAYAAATTATGGATTTCGCAAAGTTTGAAAGAATTTGCCTGCGGATGACTCTTTTTAAAGTGTCCTTAATTTCGGGTTCCTCGAAGTAATGCAAAACGAGAGTTTATATATAGCGCATGGAAACATTCGAAGCTCTCTCAGAATAACGTAGTCGGGGTAGTTCCGTTCGAGGGTAAATGATTTTCTTATTGTTACTTGTGCTGTTATACATTATACAGGAATTTATATTGGTTGCATTTTTTTTGTGTCAAACGCACGCACCTATCCATAATTAATAGCATGCACTGCATCTGTCATTGTTGATTTTTAATGCATTATCTCATATTGTTTTGTTGTACAGAGCGGCAACYTGGGAAGGACAGGGCAGATGAGGTTCGTTGTGTGGAATTTTTAAGCTGTTCTCAGGAAATACTTGGGAAAAGCTGCGTGCTTAAACTAAGCTTTGAATCTTCTGATAAACCATCGGAGCTKGTAACTCGTCTTGCAAAAATGAGTAAGTTTACACTATAGAGACGTCTTTGTAGCCATTTCTGGTGCCATTGCGCCCAGTCAGAGCTAAAAAACTACGTGAATCAATAACTGGGAGAGCTTTACAAGATAGCAACACTAGACAGTTGTGAGGAAGTATATATCCGTACTAAATCCCACAAGGACCACAAGGGACTTCATAAATATAACATGATCATGTTGATCCATTTTTTTTCCAGGTCGAACAATATATTTTTGCGCTGTAAATACAATTCTGCCGTTGGATCAAGTTTTAAAGAAACCTTCCTTTACAGACTTCCGTACTGCATACGCTTTGGAGTGTTTGCTATCTAGAGGGTTCAAAGTCAGCGATCGTTTAACGTCAAGATTTTACCAAATGCTCAAAGAAGCCTCTGGGTCTACCAGTTACCTATCCATGGTTTCAAGACGTGGTAGGCAGCTGTCGTCGTCCCAGGTTTGTAACTCTCGCCGCTATATTTCACATATAATTACAAGTGGAATAGGTTATCAATTAATTGCGCATGGTTTTGAGTCGGTGTTGTCCTCTCAAGATACAATTCTCTAGCTTTTGCACACTTTTTTTAGATTTGCCGTGCACTCTATCAACTCATAGCGTTCGTTGAAGCAAACAGATTCTGTCCCCTTGAAACCATACTTGAGCAGTTGTTGTTTGGAAAGTTCAAGAAGAATGTTGCTATCGACCTTGAAATCCCGAAGCACTACGTCTACGTCCCCCGTATCATCATCACCCCTACCCAGAATTATCTCGTGCAGCCAGAGCTTGTTGCTGAAAATCGTGTTATCAGAGAATTTGGCCATGAATTTGCAATGAGAATCGCTTTTCGAGAAGAAGATTTTTCAAAGCTGACGTCATTTTCTGAAAGTCTAAAAGATGTTTTGGATGTKCGAGTAATTGGTTTTCTGCGYGAGGGAATTCATCTTTGTGGCCGTCAYTTYAAGTTCCTTGCYTGTTCAAACAGTCAATTGAGAGATCACGGGGCGTGGTTGTTCGCTTATGATGGCCAAGTAGAGGCTGAAGAGATCAGGAAGTCCCTTGGTAAACTGGATGGTATCCGATGTGTCGCGACGTATGTGTCTCGAATGGGTCAGTGCTTTTCTTCCACTAAAGAGTCTGTCAAAATTACTATGGATGAAGGTGTGGAAACCGCTGAAATACCTGATATAAGCAAAGACTATAAAGATGAATACTTTGCCTGTTGCCAGAAATTGAGAAGTGGAACATATACCTTCTCAGATGGGATAGGGAAAATAAGTCAGCTCTTGGCAAAGAAGGTAAATGAAATYAATCATCACTTCATAAACAGTACGACCGTCAATACGGACGGACGGTAATATATTTGAAATGTCCTCATGAATATAGCTTTGAACGTATCGCTCATCAATAACATTTTCTTAAATAACTTGACGGGATAGCGATCGASAAATTTGCATTAACCTTTATAATTTAATTGCCTCTCCAGATTGCCAAGAGCCTTGATTTGAAAACAGTTCCTTCCGCATTCCAAATAAGGTACGCTGGATGCAAAGGCATGCTTGCAATTGACACAAGTCTTCCAAAAGACAGACAGATATTGCAATATCGAAAAAGCATGAGAAAATTTGACTCGGAGCACGAAGGTCTTGAAATATGTGAGCACAGCAAGCCTAGTAAGTACCCTTCTATTAGAGCATGCGCAAACGATCCTGTATGTCAATAGTCATCTCTTACTCAGAGCCACGCTGACCGAAATATACGCAGGCTCTGCGTGCGATATTGCCTGCATGTAATGAATCGAACAAATTCATTTGATTGCATGTCATTTGATTGCCCTGTAATGTAACCTCACAAATTCAAACCTAGATGCGTTGTACTTAAATCGACAATGCATAACACTTCTATCTGGAATGGGTGTCCCGGATGAAGCCCTTATCAAGCTGCAAGACACGATGCTTATCCGACTGGCTTCTATGCTATTGTTTGAAAGTGTTGCTTTGGAGACGTTAGGTCAGACGAGTGTTCCTGGTGGGCTTAAAGCAAAAGCACTACGTAACAGTGGTATCATGGTCACGTGTGAGCCATTCTTTAGGTCTTTACTGTTAGCTATATACAAGAGCAAACTGAACGACCTTCTGAGACGAGCACGTATTGCTATCCCACACGCCCACGGGCGCTTGCTTATTGGTGTTCTGGATGAATCTMAGACACTTCAGTACGGTCAAGTTTTCATACGATACAGTAAAGATATCAGTGAACCAAACAAAGAATATGTAACACTGACAGGTCAAGTTGTGGTAACCAAGAATCCTTGCTTTCACCCAGGTAATTATAAGCTAAACTAAACAGTTTATAGGATGAAATCATACATGTTAAACAAAAGGACACTTAAAGTTGCTATATTAACGGGCTTGCCTTAAAGTGAGCACTGTATTGGACATGGTTGTGAAGATTTGTTAAGTCAGCCCTTCAAAACAAAAGTAGGAACCAGCTGCCCTAACAGCGCTTTTAGTATAAACTATTGATATACATCGCATCTTTTTAGGTGATTTGCGCAAATTTGAAGCAGTTGATGTCAAGTCACTTTACCACCTCGTTGATTGCATAGTGTTTCCGTCAAGAGGGCCACGGCCACACACTGACGAAATATCTGGTTCAGACTTGGATGGAGATAAGTACTTCGCAACGTGGTACAAGCCATTGATACCACCACAGCCTAATGCACCTCCCATGGATTTCCTATCACCAGAAAAGAGGGTTTTAGATCGTAAAGTTGAGGTTGATGAYATGATCCAATTTGTAGCAGAGTATATCAAGAACGATCAGCTCGGAGTTATTGCAAATGCACATCTTGTACACGCAGATTCGGAGGACGACGGTAAGYGAGGATCAACACCTCTTTCATTATGACGTCGAAGTATGTTTACATCAGGGGAAGATGCTCAGAAATAGTGGAAATTTGGACCCATTTATWTCTTTCCGAAAGTCGAAGAAGGGTCTGAACGCAGAGATTAATACTATTTTGTCCATTATCTATTAGGTGTCAAGTCCGATAAATGTATCACTTTGGCACACATGCACTCTGATGCAGTTGATTTTCCCAAGACGGGTCAGTGCCCATCCCTGACATCAGAACTACGGCCTGAACAGTACCCGGACTTCATGATGAAAACAGACAAACCTCGATACAAGTTAGTAGAACGTCATCGTATCAGTTATTTTCTAGAGAGATGTAGATGGATAAAATGTAGTAACCCTTTCTTTCATCCTAAAAAACTTTGGGTGCTTTCCAATAGAGAAGAGCGCGGAAGAGAGACACATTATTTCCTAAAGAACATCCATTCACAGGCTAAAATTATTACACTCTTAGAATGGTGTCTCTTTTAAATTCTGTGTCAGTGTCTGTCTACTTTGAGTTGTCTATCTTTTGGATGTCGAAACAATAAATTTACTGCGACAGTTTCTTGTTTTAAGGTCCAAGAAAGTTATTGGTAAGTTGTTCCAAAAATGCAACCAGTTAGAAAGAGCTCGATATTTCATGGCCAGTGAAGAAACTGAGGACCAAGAACAAGTGAGAGTTGACCARGATTTGGTGGTGCCAGGACACGAAGAATTHATGGTCTCAGCATTAGAAAGTAGAGACCGCTACAACACCAAACTAGGGTCCCTAATGGCCTTATATGGATTAAAGGACGAGGGAGAGGTTTTAACTGGCTGTCTGACTAAAGTCAATTCAAGACTATCTGGTATTTGCTTTAATTATTTCTTAAGCTGCTTATGTAATGATCCATGCACGTACTATAATATATATTACTCTCAACTATATATACYACAAATCAATTAGAAAGCTAAACAAAAAGATTAATTCCATGGCCATTCACATATATTTTTCCATTGATATTCTACACTTTTAGGTAAAACTGATGAAAAGTTCGAAGTAGCACAGCTTATTCAAGCCAGTCTAGCATCACTTCGAAATAACTTAAAGGTGGAGTTCTATCAAGAGTTTGGTAGCGAAGAAGATGTGAAAGACTACTTCCAGGAGCACAAGGAATACCCTCAAGATGTCTTGTGCAAGGCCTCTGCTTGGTATGTTGTGACATACAGTTCAATAGACGCTCAACCAGCAGCCTCTCAAGATGCTACTCAAACAACTGAAGAAGATCCTGGACTAGCCGATGAATGGTCTATGAGTAACAAACCATTGCTGAGCTTTCCATGGATTGTCTCTCCACTACTTGCTTACATTAAGTCTCAGTSCTCAATGSAGACKTCGGYTCAAAAAACAGTTGAACCACATAAAGAGCTTGARAACATCAGTAAATTAATCATTGCCCAAACAAAGCAGATGTTTTCCAAAGAAAACCTACGGGAACTGATGACTGAAGATTTWCARRCAAGACATAYTTGGAGGGACSAGCTTCCCAATTGCTCAYCGATGTCTCTACTGGGAGCGTCAATGACAGGTTTGAACATCCTTGACAAGAAMGTACAACCGATGCAGCTGTATTGCCACGTTCGTTGGGATACAACTACAGAGATRGAAGWAGCCTGCCTTAGAAAATACGAAGGTTTTCTGAGAAGATCGCGYATTATTKCAAAACATCTTTTCATCGGAAAATAYGGCTACAATGACCACTGTATGGGTCTTTCCTTCACTACTGGGCAAGATAAGAAGCATTATATAGTAGCAAACCCCTTTGAGATGCTGAAGTCGTTCTATATTCAAACACATATAATGCAAGCACCATTACTGTTACCTCTGCTGATGGTTATCATGCATTGGGCAAGGAAGAGGTACATGACTGGCAGTGCTCGAGATAGCTTTATTGCTGTTGAAGACCTTGCTGTGTTGTTCATAAAGTATTGTGAACACTCACAATACATCGAAGAGGTAGTCATTGAGTTTTATCACAATAACAATGAATTGSATTTTGTGACCAAAGGATAATAATTTGCTATACAAGTGACCATTTTAATTCTAACATCTCTGTTTCTCTTGAAACACTAGAGAATTTTCAACATAAGTATCGTTGTTAATCCAGTTCAATGGCGGATTTGAAACATAGGGGGATAGAAATTGTGATATAACAAAAAATCTGACTGGGACTTATTCTGAAAAACAACTAAAGCACCTGAAAGAAACCTCATTTTTCACAGCTCTAAATCTATGTATTTCATATTTTTTCATGGGTAAACCATCCACCCCTCGTTTGTGATGTCCTAGCTGGGCCTGTCCCTGCTAGTTATGTGCTTATAATTTTGAAGATCAAATTATCTTCCAAATCAATTATACATGTTAATGAGAAATTTAYGAATTGCTGCACTTTTTGACAGATTCAGCTTGAAGAACTCAAACTTAAAGCAAACAAGTTTCTTAAGAACAAAGAAGAAGGCGAGAACCTTTGGAAGAACACGATTCTAGAGTCAATGGAATTTACGAACCAAGGATTCTTTGTTGAACCAGGTATTAACTTCAGTGTTGGTTTCTTTGCATGCTTGAGAAGGATGAGTGAGCATTAATAGTCATAGCRACCATTTTAACATTWAAAATCCATCMAACTGTTTCAAGGAGCAAACTTTTATCATTTTCGATAGGTTTGACACTGATAAAGTTTTGGGAGTTCTATGGAAGTGATTCCRGGTCAGATGCCTTGCACCTCTCCAAGATCCGCAACCCTGTAAATCCACGCGAAAAGCTTCTTTCATACCTAAAGCMGGAGGAAAGCCAACGCTTTACAGATGCTGCACTTCACACATTCCATGAAATCGCRCAGCGAAGAGGTCTAGACTCCCTGCTGACATCCATCGAACACGAAAACCTCAAAGAAGTCTCGGAAACTCTGACGATGCCAAACTGTACATGGGGGTCGCTTAGATTCGCAGAAGACTTTGTGGCACATGGTTTGTCSACTTTGACTAAAGCGAAAGTGAACATTCGATCAGGTAACTTRAACATTTTTATTTTTTGAGTAAAAAATCATTATTATAATAACAGTGCATAYTGCGGTTTTAGTGACTGCAGTGCTTGCATTTTGCCAAGCAAACGAATTGYATGGTGGTGCTCTGAAAGTATGTATTGGAGAATACAATATCCTGCCGTGTTTTTTTCAATGTATRCTTTGAATTTGCAGCCCMCAAAGGAGGTGGCTACATCATGGAAGTTGTCGGTAACTATATTTCGTTGTCGAGATGCCAAGCGGAATGCCATCGTCTTGAGGCCAAAACCAGAGAGCATTTCGTCTATGAYCACGTTATTAGAAGTGGAAAYCGATTTATATTTCTTGATCAAACGTCCCATGATGACCKTGTCGCAGCAAGAAWMCTAAAAAAAGGAGACTTTGCTGTGAATTTGACAAGCACTTCTCCAACAGGTATCCAGATCGACGAAATCAARCTCTTGTCAGCRGTAAAGGAGCAGATGGACGTTTACCAGAACTCATATTTAAGTTAYCTCCACGGTTCCAAAAATCTTCACATTTCACTTGAATATGGAAGTATTTTTGTTACTAATGCACACAAATGGGTCGCTGGCACCACGGTTRAAGATGTRGAGGAGACCTTGAGCAAAAAGTCCAATGCAAAGAACAAAAAAAGAAACAGGAACACCATTGAAGGAAAATTTGTAGAACTGCAAAGAGCGGGTCTAGATGCCGTTGCTGCAAATCTATCAGTRTTTGGTGAAGCTAGCCATGTCGCGAAAGAGAAGATATACGTGGTTGAGATGAAGATAAGCAACAACCATAAGCTTAAAGTTGTGCTTGACAAAGACCTTGCGTTCAAAGGCTACCAGTTTGAACCTTTTAAATGGCTTGACGCACGGCTGAAATGCCGTCGACCAGCAAGTTCAAGAAGCAGTGATGTTGACATGAGAATAATTATGTCAACACAACGAGACTTAACCACAGAAGAATACGAAAACCTTYCCATACATGAGACATTTGGCAAGATACCAATTCTCTCSTTGGTTGATGGGCGATTGACAATCGYGCAGGAATACAGGCGAAGAGCAACCTTCGTTTTYATCACTGAAGTAGATACCCAGAGCCTTATCTACAATGACAGTTGTATTTTTCTCGAGGTAAAGAAAATCAAGARATACARCGCAAARCAGATGCGATCTWCACCGGAAAAAGAGTTTACATCACTAAAGCTGTACGTTGCTGATAGCAATGTTGACAGTACGGAAAAGTTGGTTAAAGATATCTTGTCTCTCGGGAAAATTCTCAAACCGTCAGCTTGAAGTCGCAAGGCCGAGTCACGAGCGAAAAACTTGTTGTCAGTAATCAATCTAAAAAGTATTTTAGGCTAAGYACACAATTTTGCATTGATAGAACTGATCAGCACTACCTAGYGACGTTTCGGTCTCTGACAATGGATTAACGTCCGAAACATCAGTTAATTCATGATTTCACCTACTTTTTACACTGTTTCTTTAGAAACATCGACGCAGTTCAAACTAGTTTACAGCTAGTTTCCATCATTTATATTTAATTTACCTTGTTTRATCTTTACACAATTTTTTGTAAATAGCTTTTAGAAAAAGTGCTGTGCTCATTTTTGAGAAATTTTCAATTGAGTGAATWTGTAGTCGATTTTTGTAAAAAATAATAATAATAAWACAACCCTCTTATTAAATACGCGTCTTTAAAGAGTTCTGTTCATTTTGCAATCTCTTAAGGACGTGCCAAACGTGATTGATACAGGGGAAGCAGGGCAAGATAGGGAAGCAGACGAATTGTATTCTGTATACGTCGAGGCAGAATAATCGGTTYTGAAAATAAYGTCTTCATTTGGTCCCGGCTCCACTTTCTCCTCATAACTCGCRCCATAGTTCAACGAAGACTTGTGCATGCTTTCTATAAATCGCCGATGGCTGATGCTCAATTCAAGAGGTGCTGTTGAAAACCATTGTGAACGTTTATTTCTAATGATTCCCTTTTTAAAAAGCTCYCTTGTCGATGGGAAATGGCGATGTGGCTTATTTGTCCAGATGTGAGAGAAAGGAAAGCCAAACTTGTCAACATAAAACTCGAAGGMAAGAACGACCACTGACGTAAACACACCWATGAGGACGATCACATAAGCTCCTCCAAGATCATCAATGGTCATTTCTTTGAAGTTTGATCCAGGTTTCGCGTTGTTGTTGCATGTACCACTCAGCCATCTCTGTGTCAGTTTYCGATAAGTGTCAAGCTTCTGGTACAGGATCAAAATATCTGAGAGTTTATTGGTGAAACTGGAGTTTTTTGTTAAGGCAATTCCAAAACCTGACTGGAAAAATGGTTTGCCAACAAGTTTGAGCTTGCATGTTTTCTGTTTTGAAATATGGTACAGCAGTGTTGGTTCATCGCCTATAAAGGCTGACAATTCACTGGTGAAATAAAGTAAAAAATACAGCATTAAATAATAGATTTAAAAAGATACTGCAAAATATGCAAATTATATTCTTACCCGTTATAAACTTTTTGCACTCCTTCTGCAAAAGTGTTCACTTGGTTCAGTTTCATCTTCTTCCAAATCTGCGAGTAAACTGGATCTGTACTTTCTTTGAACACTTTCTCCATACTTGTCTCTTTTACTGTTCCAATGGTAAAACCATTCGTTGGGTTTTGGAGCTAAAATGCACATGTTCACATTATCAAGCGTTGGTATAATATGCAATAGTCAAGTATACTTCCAAGGKGGAAAACTCTTGCACACTGTGTTGCATAAATMTAGAATATCAACATTCCTTACCTTCGGGTCTTGTATACCAGAGATGGAGTTTGCCTCATTCTCTGAGACTAACACAGCTGCGAGGTTAGCAGTATAAGTGTTGGTAATAACCAACATTCCAAAGGCGAACACCACAGCAAGAGCACGACTGCTGTAACTTCTTGGTCTAGATTCACATTCATCAGTACGAAATACACTGCCCCAAGTAAACCACAAACTTGCAATTAAATGAAATTTCTTCTTTTCTTTATAATTTCCGCCTTTTCTGTAGTGACCACCTGGGCTGTTCTTGTCCAGGAACCAAAGAAGTACGAACACTATGTTTATGGTGGCAATTGTTACGATCCACATTTCAATTGAGAAGGGATCTAGAAAACGAAGAAGCCATGCTTGCCTGTCTTTCTCTACTGAAACCAAAATGCCTAGACCGACGTGCAGATACGGTTGTGTGAAGTCYACAACCTGGCTCCTTGAATCGGTAATAGTTAAATCTGCAACTGCCATATCTGCTTCTCCTCGCAWAAGCTCCCCTATCAGTCCATTCCATGACCGGGTTTGTCGGTTAAAGCCACCGTATTTACCATCTTTGACCACGTGCAAATCAGCCTTGAAACCTAAGTCACTTTCAAGCATGCGCAGAAGGTCCATAGCTAGTCCTTTGCARCATTTAGTTTGGAACGAAGACGTACCATTCCCCAAGGATTTGAGTGTTTTACATGGAAATCCCAGAGCRCATACTACTTTACCATCTTTGACATCYTCATCCCGAGAACCATAAAACGCAAAAGGTTCAGTCAGTGCTGTAATGACTCTTACTTCCTTCATGTTCAGTGAGTTGGTTGGATGAATGATTTTTCCTCCGAGCCACTTCATCGATACTCCATTAGGTATTAACCTGTTTTCGTTTGTGYTCCAATATGAAATTCGCTTCCATTCCTTCTTACCCATTGAGCTACTATGAAGGTTTAATATGTCATATTCAGGTTTTATCCTGTTTCCATTCTTGTCAAACTGGATATGACCTGTTTTTCCGGTCATTTTGATGCTGCTCAGAGTTTTCCTGAAAGAAGAAAAAAAAAAACATTCTGCCTGTCACATTTTGTTAGGCGGAGATTTTGTCAAGATTAATTAATGATAATGCGTATGAAAAATTGAAATATACAATTCCTCAACCGCTGTTTTATTAATTACTATGTGTGTTCGCCAGAGTTCAGAACGTTCGACGAATAAATTATATCTGTAAATAACAGATAATTTCTAAATCAAATTTCCTAAGTGTAAGTTATTGTATTGACATAGCTTAAAGCCGTTGARCAATCATTTTTTTTATTATGGGATATATTATCCGACAAAAAGCAAATACAGTAACACCGATTCGATTATGTCATATAGTTGTCGACGAAACTGAGGTCGTGTATGCCGGCTTTGAGAAACCACCGCTAGTACCGCAGAAAAAATCATTTACACGCTAATAAACTAGATGAGACTTTAACTTGAGCTACTTTGTGACGAAAACACAAGTTGCAACTATTRGAAATCAACCCTCCCTCCCCAAGTACTCTAAAATGTTATCAGTCAAGGCCAATGATATCTTATCGTAAGATTTCTTTCGTTAGGATGAGATTTCAGAAATCTGGGTTACATCCACACCAGTGGCAATTTATAGGTGTTTCTTACCAAGATAGGATAAGATATAAATACTTCTCGACTGGAATGCTATTTCATTCAAAATACGAACTTCACCTTTCGCAAAGGCCGTTTTTCGCTCGTTCCGTATCTTCCGTACAAAGTCTACACCTGTGTGAATTCTCAAATTACTCGGGCAGAATAGATAAAGAAACACGTGTTATAAGCTCATTTACCAAACAAAATACTCAATATCACTTGTTTGGCATATTGCTGATTAAATAACGATAGATTTCTACCTTTTCAATCTTTAGCTTTGTTCGATAATATGATACATGTGATGAAGATAATAAAAGAGATGATTGAAGACGCGCGCGAGTTCCATTTTCATAGATATTTGCTGATTGTCTTCAAGTTGGTAAGGATCCGATCAATGCATTAACGTTGTTCGCAGTTGTAAATACAAAAAAGACAAAAAAATCATTGACATACATCATGTTTTCAGTTTTTTACAAGAATATTTGATATATCAAGTTACATTTCGTGTTTCAAGTTGCAAAAATTCATTAAAATACTATTTATTTGAAGTTTTCAATTTAAGTTATTTCCCCGTTAAATTTCAAAAAGAATACATATACAAAATCCTGCTTCGTTGTTGTCTTTGCAGTATCTTTACAACAACGCAACCATCGTGATGGATTTGTACTAAACAATATACACCGATTTCATAAAATAATGACACTCTTTATAAATACATATTATACATGATTTCTTGATATTTATTGTAAAATYGGGGCCCAATGCTGAAATCATGCTTGTGCATATATAATGAAGGTTTTTCATGTATTTCCAATCACTTAACGCCCTTTAGAAGGTGATTTTCAAGGAACTGAAACACTGCAACATATTATCGGTATATATTTCAAGAGTGTCATTTTTTTCTGAAATCGGTGTATGTAAGAATATATATATAATAAAGATGTTGTAAAACGAAAATCATTTTAAACTTTATATTCGTTATATAGCACTACATCTGGTACAAAACACAATTTTCAATCTAATTTGTCTACGGTTATCCTCCGGAACTGAAAATAAAATCAATTTTAAATGCACTTCGTGTGTTAGATTTTTTTWAAAAAACAAAGATAGTTTTCGATGTTTATCACTATGCACTCAACCAATAAAGTTCTGCTTCGAGCAATTTCGAAGAGAGATTTTTTCGACAATTCATTTATAATATACTGTTCAAAGATTCAAAAAGATTACAGTGATGTGCAGGTAATTCAACACTACATTTAAGTAGGCTTTTACTACGGACTGTGAGAGCGAGGCTACAAATAATGTCATATATTTCCCAGTCCAGAGATAAAAATRATGTTTATCATTTTCAAATACAGCAGTAATAGTTCATCTTTGACATCCCTACCACAGAGATGATCAATTGATAAGTTATTAATTAGCAGAGCTCGGCCTTCGGGCTGTCTGCTTGACAGGAGCGCTATAGATAGAAAAAAAGGGTAAGCCATTCGAAGCTGAGTTTTAGAGGGCTCCAGCCCGTGTATAACCGCTGTCTGGGATTCGACATGAACATATAGCCTACTACATTGCAAGGAAAACATGGCGCAAAAACTCGCGCGCAAATTCCTTAAAAAAATTAACAGGAACTCAACAATGACAATGCTTCAAAAGAACTTTTTCTATTCAYTGCTCAATTATAAAAATAAAATTTCCTTTATATGTTTTCAATTTATGATTCACCTCATTTTGTATTGAATACGGATTTGTCGGGAATTTTGCTCGATCTGCCATTCATGTTTTAGACTTGCTTGTCGACTATCAAGCATGTGTGTTTGAACAGCTATCAAGTTGCTTAGCTTTGCTTTTAAAAACTTATGTTTTTCCCTATGGCTTTTTTTAGTGCACAAGATAGCAAAAAAATAAATCAAAAGTGCAGATTGTTGTAMRTATATCAATTTTGCTCATTTTTCGTTTATCAGGGGATACACTGTCTCTTTTTTGAAGTTATTGCCATGGTTTGGAGACATTTACATTGACAAAGGTTTCGTTCAAACTTTCAAATTRTTGTGGATCGATCAGACGGTCCTCTTCGCCTCGTAGCGACTCGTAGTTCTCCTTTAAGTGTCCGAAGTGCTTAATTTGCWCATTGCAATTGACGAGGACTTTTTTTTTTTCTTTAAGGACACTTTAATACAATACAATTTATATGTTATCTAGAATCGATTTTTAAGAACTGTGAAAAAAAGCATGGAAACCATCTAGTGTACGTTAAATATTTGTATGAGTGGTTCTTTGCTGTTTATTAGCGCTATCAGAAATGTCGGATTACCAATATTGAACTGCCTGTAGTGAGCATTGTAAAGCGTTGTTCAAAGTCTATGCAAATGAGGAAAAAAAAGATGACAAAGATCGATGTAATTTTCTAGCACTACATAGATTTGGCGCTTTTAAACGTACCCAAACTTTATAAAATATTTCTACCTAGCTTTGGCGCTTTTAAACATACCCAATCTTTATAAAATATTTCAATATATTTCTTGTGGTTTATGTACTTAAAAATGTCGCATTTTCTGGCAATMAAAAGTTCATTTTGTTATTGTTCAACGTCCCGATGGCACCGATGGTTAATTCWGATTTGGTTAGATATAAAAAGCCATAGTAAACCGTTTTTCAACACGGACCAATCAGAGCTCATCGTAGGATGTTTTATCATCACAGTTGGATATACCGAGACAGTGTCATAACTCATCAATCAGTAGCTTCAGAAATTCACTTGTACTACTGAACCTTCCGTGAACACATTRCACAGCTTGGCGGATAATATTTACAAGGTATGTATGTRTAAGATAATTTTCTATGACCAYAGGTTGGCTTTGGCAGTAAACAGCTACTATAATTTTTCGAGAAAAAAAAAGASAAAAGGAGATAGGTAGGTTGTTTAATCGTTGGTTAAGTGAAAAAGGTTTTGGTTAGCCGGGGAGTGTTTAACGTTCAGTATTATAGAAATGCAGAGAGATATCACAAGACAAAGTGAACAGCCATYACACATGATTTTTCTTTTTGCGTTGGATGAGGTTARTATTCGGGAGATGGYTGAGTACTTTAGTAAAACGATAGCAACTACATATTGCCGGAACTGGGTAAAAGAGGAAATTCAACATCAGTAAGACGGCCGCGACAATAAAATGATCGCGTTTATTAACACAACACTTGCTGATTCATWTTATCATTCTAATTAATAAATACTTTATTTGTCATTAACAGTACATGATAGTATACTTTCGGGGAAAATAGGTTGTCCAAACAAAAGGATAATGAATGATATTAGTACGATATGGTGAATTTAATGAAAGAAATTGCAAATCTAAAAAAAGTGTCATGATCTTGTCTTATTTCAGTAATCAATTTTCATTCAGTCATTTCTTTTTGTCTGTCTAATGTTAGTAATAGTCATAGACATTCAAGCATTTTGAAAGCAGTGTTAATGCTAGCTGGAAGTATTAACATTATTAGTTTTCCGATGTACATAAAAAAAACACGAGCAGTTATATAGACATTAGTTTGGGTGTTTTGCTAAGCGTGCGTCATATTAAAAGTGGATTTTAAAAGGTAAGAGCATTTAGGAGCAGAGTAGTTTGCCTTTGCGGGGAGATTTTTTGTCTGCGAGACAAGATTTTTAAACTACGAATAAAGATTGCGCAATTGTATATCGTCGTTCTCACAAGCGACTTACTTTATATAAGCACCTGTGATCATACCAGGTCTACAACACGGTGCTTTTAACTTCGCTTTTAGCGCCGAAAGGGAAATCTCATCGAAACTTGGAGTCAAGGAATTGGTGGCCGCACACGAGCCCATGAATTAGAAATTATTGGACGACAATGTTGTTGTCCTGGATATCGGTCACGAATCTTGGTTTTGATTAAGGTAATTGCACTGGATTGCCATAGAAATCCCCTAGTCTTAAAAAACACTTTGAAAGGATCAGAAAACAGCTGACACAATTTTAATTTGGAAGTTGTCAATATACATGATATTGATCTCACTCTTTATAAACAGTAAAGCAAGGATTTCCCCCGGAGGGGGGGGGGGACTTCCCTATAAACTATGGTAGGTATGCTCGACGGACGGATTGAAAAATGACCCTAAAAGGTACGCATAAATTAATTCAGGCATCAATTCCAGACCCTAAAAGGTGCGACCATTTTTGACGTCTTTAAACTTAAGTTTAACAAACTGTAGAAAATCAATGTCGATAGATTGTTGAGGTTAATAAAATCTATTTCTTTATTAACACTTCTTCAATTTATTTTCCGATTTTCGAAAATTGACCCAAGAAGGTACGGTGTCAGCTTAGGACCCTAAAAACGKACGCGAGGTTTTTATTTTCGACCCTAAAAGGTCCGTCGAGCATACCTACCATGTTTTGTAGGGAAGTCCCCCCCCGGGGATTTCCTCTACATTATAGTGGTAAATTATACTAAGCAATTGCGGTGATGGAAAACACCAGACATTGCCTTATAATCAAGTCTTTTTGAGCGTTTTTCCTCAAAGTCACTTTCCTCTATATATAAGAAATGGTAATATAGTTAACTTGTATTTACTTATAGCGAGACACCTGATGCGGCTTAGAAAGGATRATCTCAAGGTGTAATTCTAGAAAATGAACAAATCACGATCTCAGTGATATATCACATACTACTTTTCCTCGTTTGTCCTCTATTTTGTAATCGAACTGATTAACGTTTAGCTAAAAGCTTCAAAGTTTAGCACGCAAACGATTTTATCACAGTTGTACGAATTATAGAAATACCCATGTTCATACACTCTTCAATTTCTAAAAATACGTTTAAAAGCTTATTGTTACAGTGCCGCCAACTGATTGAAACCCTGTTTCCGAAGACGCGTACAGAAGAAAACCCGTTTTAGGCCGTTTTAGGCGATCATGATAATGCATTTTTGTTTGCGATTTTCCAATTTCTTGTAGAGAGCGTCGATTTTTAATCTTCTTTGCTATCAAAACGATTAACTAAGATCTTCTCCTTTGATGTTGGCGGTGGAAGATTCTATACGTTTTCTTAGAATATAAAAATCTTAGGTTTTGTTTTTTTTTTTAAGTGTGCGACATTTTGCACTGTTTAGTGTCAGAGAAACTCATCTGGAGTCAGCATTATTTGCAGTATTTATTTTTTCGCGTGTACCTTTTAGAGTTTGCACTCGACTTTGGACAATTATTCAATTTAGTGCGTCTATTATCCAAACAAAAGAGCTTTAGTGGTGCGGGTGACTTATTTAATCCTTGTTGACTATTTTGCACTTTGGATTATGGGAGCTTTTGACTAAAAGAATGTCGAAAAATCTAGACAGGTCTAGCATGTGGCGTAGTACTTGTTCGATATCGAAATCGAACTAATCATTTCAAAAACCTCAGTCAGGGAAGTTTGACACGGGAGAGTTTGACGTTTTAAAAGTAGCTTTGTTATGGGACAACAAAAATACTTTTTGAAATTATTAGTATCAAATTGTGTTTTCTGCTTCAATGTTCATTTTTATGTGAAAACAGTCTTTTTTACGTTGTTTGATATTATTGAGTACTAAATGTTCAGCATGCAAGGACATTGCGAGAAGTAGTCTCCATTGCAGCAGTCTGGCTTTAAAGCATTTTAACATGAGCAGACAAAAGAAAAGCAGCGTAGAGGAGATTGTACTAAACTATGCCTAAAGATAATCAAAATCTCTTCCGTGAAAGTGCTTTGTGGGGAGTAATAGCTCGAGTACTGCTCGAGTGATCTTAAAAGCCTCAAAAAGTCAAGCCTTTGTGGCGAGTCATAGCTCGAGTACTGCTCGAGTGATCTTAAAAGTCCCAAAAAGTCCAGCTTTTATCAGCTTCCAAATCTAATGAATAATCATGTCTGAATTTATGAATGTATCTGATTTTGTAAGAGTTTTGAGGTATTTCTCAGCCGTAAGTATTCTGTCTTCACATGTACTGCAGTAAGTTCATATACTAGGCTGTACTGACTATGGCTAAGAGAAGATGTTTTAGGGAGTTCTTTGTTTATGGTTACTTTGGAATAGATTTCACTTTTCAATTCAAATGTGTTGCAAACCAAGAGCTCCATTCCGTTAAACTGAACCATCAAATTGATTTTCGTTCGAAATAGTGATCTTAGAAGCATGGTAAAGTAGATATTAGCACTGGTTTTGTATAGTTTCTACAGATCTTCGTGGTAAACTAGGAAATTATCTCAAGTTATGTTGAATGCCCTTGGGGCCCATATACACGTGGTGCTTGAATAGTCGGAGTATATTTGCAACAAATATGAGTTGAATTATCACGGTGTATCTATTTACCTTAAAAATTCATCAGTTGGTTTTCCTGTGGTCATGTTGTCGCAGCTTTTCTTGACGCTGCTCATCTTTCCATTGTTCTTCAAGTCCAAGCTTTGCGCATGAGCACTAACCACAATACTGTCATGAACCAAGTCTTGGGTCAGTGATGACGACTCTTGAGAACTACGAATGCGCATGCCCAATACACCAATAGGTAACCATGGTAACAGTGAGGGATCCTCGGTCAGABAGTCGGTTACGACCCAAGCTTGGTTCCCGTTAAATAGCTTTAGCGCAGCCGCAGTTTCTAGTATTTTCCTTGCGCTAGAAGACGAACAATACAGTACTACCAGTGTCGTTTTAGAAGCTCTTACTTTAAGAAGTTTATCTCTGATATCGAAAGAGTTCGAGATTTCTACAGTTCTGACCAACAGTAAGGGTTTCGTAGTTTGAATTCTGCGTACTAGCTCTTTCATGTGAATATCGAGTGATTTTTCCTTTGCGAACAGGATAGTTACATCAAACCAATTGTACGTTAGTGCGAGCTCTGCCAGGGCTTGACTCTGTTCGTATATAATGGGCTTCATGCTAAAAACCAAATTGAATTCGTGGTCCTAAAAAAATGATATAATACACAAAACGTAAATTTATGATAAACTTTATTGTCAACTGATTTTCAAAAAAATGGCTCCTTTAAATGTACAAGACGCCCTATCTTACATGCGCAGAATTTAATTCACATTAACTGCATGTGAAATTCGTCGTTTTCAAGTGTGCGATACTATTGTCCTATTGGACACAGCCCATAACTTTAAGTGTTTCGTTTATTATAGCAAATTAAAACAGTCCTGTGTATGGTTTTGTTCCTTTTTAAAGCAATCAACACCCTTTTAAAAGGCAAAAATTGTTCAAGTTTTGGGCAGCTGCTAGAGTTTTTTAATGAAAACCGATTCTGTGATCTTCTGAGGCAGCAGGTAAAACAAGGAAAATAATAAGCTAACGAACACTGGTTTAAATCACAAAGCAAATAAAACAGATATCTAAATAAATAGTTTGTCTTAAAATATGAAATACACGAAAAACTGGTCATTTCCTGATACGACTAAAAATACGAATTGTAACACTGATCAAACAACGAGATATACTTCACACACATTGTATTCGCAATCGTTTTAAATAAGGTAAAAACCAATTGTACATCATATATATGCTTCAAGGTTAGAAGGATTGACAAAATACTCCTTTGAAAAACGTAAGCCATCACTGCGCGAACATTGAATTCCAACAATCAAACAAATCCTTCATTATAACATATATAAACAAACTGCAAATAGAGCCAACTATACAATCACAGAGAAATAAAAGGATTATAAAAAATACTGTTTTTACTGGCCTGCATGGTTGGGAAGGAACGAATCCCTCTCATCAAAGCGACAATAATACCAAGTTGAGAAGCTATCCATGGAATAAAGTTAAACCCAGTTTCTTGTTGCAAAAGAGGCTCACTTATAATTACAGATGTTATGTTTCCCTCTCTAACTTTTTCGCAGAACTTTACGAGAGAGAATTCAAGACTCGTTGTGTAGTTTTCCAGTACGAATAGAGTGGCGTTTACAAGTGATTCTGTCAAACTCCTGGATARCTCCAGAGCCTCTGCCATGACGCTTTCTATTTCAGAAGTGTTAGTGTTTGCTGAAATAATAGCGATATTCATTTGAGTTTTGCCGCCTGGCTTCGTATTTTCAGACTCAGACGATCCCCCTATTGTTTTTCCAGTTGATTTGAGGAAGATGGCAACAAAGAGCAAGTGAATGAACATTTTGGGACATGCCTCGTCACAAACACTGTCCCGGACAAAGAACTTCTTTCAATGACTTATGCATTTTAAAATGAATTTCTGTAACACAATTAACACAAGTGATTAAAAAACCTAATGATTTAAAACTATTTTTGAATTTGACTTGAGCTTTGAGAGAAATCACCATCTCAATTCTGATGTGCCAAAAAACATTGCACAAAATGCAAACAGCAGAGATTGAATGTTAGAACAAATCGCGTAAAGAAAATCCTGTGTTGAGCCGCAATGGTTTAAACACAAATTGTGTTTTTCATAGCACAGGAAATTGAATTGTATAATTAGTTTTATTTATGAATACGATGAATAAGCCTTCCATTTTTACCTCGGCCATGGCCATACATACTCGTAGGCCGTGTTTTTATACTTCGGAGATCACTGAGATTCGATAATGTACGATCATTTTATAAGCCACTAAACTGTGTATTTAAAAAGGATTATAAGACCAAAAACTATACAATTATCTTGTTCTGAAAATGATAGCAGCTTCAGTAATTAAACAACTTAGCAAGCAGATGCCAGTTTTCATTTTTAAAGAAAATATTTTTTTGTTCATTGAGTCGCGCATGCTGGTTTTAGCAGATGAGAAAAGTTTCGACGTATACACGTAACTTCAGCGGGACAGCAATTTTGTAATCACTCGTGTAATTTCAGACCAAAATTACAGTATGTTTAATTTGTATCGCAACTCAATTATATCCATTTTGAGATTTGAACTAAATAAATAGCAGAGAAACCTTGATTAAAAAATCGCAAGTTAATTGTAGCGTTGAGAATGTACAAAAAAAAGGCTCCGTTATCAGCCAATCAGATTACAGTGGTGAACATTGATTTTGAAATAATGAATATAGATAGAGTTGATGCACAAATAAAATGGCAATTGTTGCGTAATTGTTTTTCTCCGATTCAACTTGTGTTGATTAACAACCAAACGTATGGAGCGGGCATGCGTAGTTTGATAACACTATCTAGAGCGCTTTTTGGCCAATCACAGCGCGCGTTATATATAAGTTGTTAAGCAAATTAAAAACTGCTTTGAGAGTACGCGCATGCATAGCAACACTCTCCGGCCTGGAAACAAAATCAAGTCGTGCACGTCCCACACGTTTCAGATAAGTCAAATTGAGGTCTTTCTGGTCGGTTGATGGAGAAAATAGATCACTTTTTAAAATGTTGACCTCTTAATGCGGCCGATAATTTGGGCCGTTTCGGCAAATCTTTTAGTAATAAGTGGAGCAATGTTCTACTTTTTTCGGATTAATAGTTCTTTTATCCAAGATATTTTGTTTAGAAAGTCGCTCATTTGTTTTCTTTTTGAGAATTTATAAGRATGATCTTTATCAAAAATGTTCACGAGGCCTAGCAGCAAACACTCGGTATTGTTTAACTGTCCTATTGGGACTGAGCTTACCCTGGGTACCAGAGGCTGGATTTTCTCTTTCTTATAGTTTATTTAGGACACGAAGCGCCATCTTTCAGGCCGTAGGACTAGCAATACGACCTTCCTAGAACAGTCAACCCTAATATGAAATAATATAGAAAGGATACATGTATACAGCTCTAAGTTAACGTCAAGTTGAATCTAACTGGTACATATTGCTTGCGATAATTAATCGAGGGACATGCACGCGAACAATTAACGTTACTCGCTCTCAGAATTCCTTATTCGTAAGGTTTTATATGATGATAGTGATGAAGCCATAGCCACAGTTAAAGCATCAAAAGGAATTTTCTCTCTAAGTCTTAATGGCCAATAACAGAAAACTGACGAATTGCTTTCATTCAAACAGACGAAAATCATGTATGTTTTGAATCCGTCAGCTACTCAAACGCCTTATAAAAAAAACTATAGTTGTGTGGCTTTTTCTTCAATTTATTCAATTTATAAAAAAAACTATATATATACATAAAAAACTATCAAAAACACATTGAGGCCACTGGCGGCGCCAAGGAAAATGTGATCTTTATAAAGTGTTACTCAAAATATGACCGCCGCGGAGTTACTCGCCGCTTGATCGAAAAGGGAAGCCTCTTTGCCGATGAAATTATATCGACTTTGATTCCGTTCCAATTCAGTGTAAAAGCTTTTTGATCGGTTAGACCCATTAAATAACAGCATCAAAATATTTAGTATTCTCTTGCGCTATAAGAGCATACTGATTAACATTTTAACGTCTTATTTAATGAGACCTATAACGTTGTGCAAAGAAAAAAAAAACTGACAACTTGTAGGCTAAGTACAGACTGTCGTCTAAAATGTCACAAAATGTTACTTCACTTGCGATCCCGCTTTTCCGGCCGATAATTAATTCTCTTTCTTTCATTTCGTTCATTTCCACACTACTCACGTCTGCAGCGAACGTGCTCTCCCTGCCTTGCGTAGGTTCGTCTTGATAGTATTTGTCTTTAAAAGGAAGTGCACGTTTTCCTTTCATAGCCAGTATCTTAACTTTTTGCAAGCTATTTCCTTAAACGTTTTGTCTGCCTGAAGCCTTAAAACCTTCTGATATCAAGAGATTTATAGTGATCATGCAGGGCATCTACTAACGCGGACATCTTTGCGCCGGCACTTTTGCTTAAAGTTTCTGGATTCTCTGCTCAATATTTGAGACCATAAACTTCAGCCAAAGATCTTCGTTTGACAACTTCTTTCATTGTTATTCTGGTAAGACCTAAGTTAGGTTCATCCATATATGTTTATATATATTTTTCTTTTTTTTCACCCTGGTTTATCAACTATCTACAATTGTAGGCCCACTTTTTTTAGCCTAGTTAGCATTCATGGGATCATTGTATGGTGACAGCGATCTCAACCGTTATAATGACGATGCCATCATCGCTAGCTTTTTCATCATTACACTAACTTATTTGGTGAGCGAAAGTTCAGAGAGGGTCAGTACAGACTTATCACAAGGGGATCATTTTCTTAGAAATCGAATTCGAATTTAACCAGGAAAAATTTATATGTACCCCATGCATTTGAATTCATATGTTTTCAGGTTCGCGTAATTTGAGCAGTTCTTCTATACAGTTGATTTTGTCGGATTATTAGCTCTCTGCTTGATACCGGTAGCGACGGGATTAATGACTAAACGTACATGTTTGATCCTGCGTTTGATTCTCAACGAATAAATGAGGACACTTTAATACCAAGGCAAGGTTTGATGTAATTATAAATACTGATTATAGAGATACCGCTCCTGATATTCCTGCTTAGCAGAACCCCGGGCCCGGGGGGGGGACTCCCTAATATCAAAGGGCGGGGGTCCTCGGCGTCCCTTTTAGTTTGAAATCGGTATTTTGGTCCCACTTAGGGTGATAATGACGAGAATTCCCACCAACTGAGTTTTGTGGTCCCTTTTAGGGTATATGACGTCCCTAAGCATCCAAATTAAAACTAGTTTTACGATATTTTTCACATTTGTTGATTTAACATTGAGTATCATAGCGTTCTCACACCCGCCTAATCAATATATGAAGTTTCATGTCTATTGTCTATATCTCCCTTAGGCATTCCATAATTTAGTCTTACATATCAATTAATAGAATTAAGATGGTGGTCGTTTTGCTATATTAAAATTGATAGATGAGAAGTACAAAAAGCCAAACAAACTACAGGAAGAAATGGATCGAGGTGTGCCGAGGAGACTACTCTTGCCCTTAGGATTTCAAGTGATTTTTATATCTTAAGTACAGGAAATTGATGCTGTTTGAGTGAGGCTGTAATAAACAACGTGGTACAGTAAGGCCAATAGTTTACAGGGATTACAAGCAACTTGATGATATCTTCTAGTGACATGTACTTTTGCTCAGTGATAGGTAACT